GAACTTGTCCTATGGGCTATAATGTATGATTCTTTATGAGCTTTGTTAGGGATGTTTATTAGGAGAGCTCAAAACGTTATGGAGGCCCCTTAAAAATGGCAGGTGCTAGGACCTAAGGGAATTCAGGCAACCTCAGCAGGAGGGGAGACATCACACCTTGGGGCGGGGCGTGGTGCCGTGTAAGCAGGTACAGAAAAGCCAGTTCTTCCACACGTAAGCTCCGTCCGTGTACTCCATTTCAGCTACCTTCATCTATCTCCGGGACTTTGGCAGCTCGTTAAGCTGAAAGCATGTTTCTCGCAAAGGCTCTTTTGGAAGGAGCCGATCGAGGCCTTGGGGGAGCTCTTGGAGATCTTCTTGGAGGAGGTGGTCAGAGAAGAGGAGGAGGAGGAGGAGGGAATATTGGAGGGATAGTTGGAGGAATTGTGAATCTTATCAGCGAGGCTGCGGCAGCTCAGTATACCCCAGAACCACCTCCCACTCAGCAGCATTTCACCAACGTGGAGGCCAATGAAAGTGAGGAAGTTCGTCGTTTTCGGCAGCATTTTGCCCAGCTGGCTGGCCCAGACATGGAGGTGGGTGCCACTGACCTAATGAAAATCCTCAACAAAGTCCTGTCTAAGCACAAGGATCTGAAGACAGACGGCTTCAGCCTGGACACCTGCCGGAGCATTGTATCTGTCATGGACAGTGACACGACCGGGAAACTGGGCTTTGAAGAGTTTAAGTATCTGTGGAACAACATCAGGAAATGGCAATGTGTCTATAAGCAATATGACCAGGACCGTTCCGGGTCTCTAAAAAGTTCCCAGCTGCCGGGGGCTCTGCAGGCTGCAGGTTTCCAGCTAAATGAGCAAATCTACCAAATGATTGTCCGCCGATATACCGATGAGGACGGAAGTATGGATTTTAACAACTTCATTAGCTGCCTGGTCCGCCTGGATGCCATGTTTCGAGCCTTCAAGTCTCTGGATAGAGATGCAGATGGCCTGATTCAGGTGTCTATCCAAGAGTGGCTGCAGCTGACTATGTATTCCTGAAGGGGCCCTGAGAAGGCAGGCCCCTCCCTGGAGGGGAGGACCGCTGCTGAGAGCCTGTCCATGCTGTCCTCACAGTGGCGATACCCCATCACACAGCTGTCACTCCCCAGCGAGCTCTTTCACTACCCACCATAGGTCTGAACTTGCACTGCTTTTTTGCTGCTTAATTAAAACAGATTTTTTTTTCATGAAAAATGTTTTGAGTGGTTTGTATATCAGCTTTTTGACATAGTGGATTAATATGGACTTGTATATGTGATGGGGGTACGGGGCAATCTCTTATGGTGTAGATTTTAATAGCTTGTTGTTTGCTGGGTGAATGAGTTCCAAGGAGCAGGAAATTTGTTATTGTTTGTGCTTGTTACACGTGAAATTTTGAAAAAAAAAATTGGAATCAAGAAAGCACTCAGGAGATACATTCTTTCCCATTAAAAAGGTGAGGAGGGACGTTCAAAATCTGTTTTTCTCTTAATTTTATATCTGGCCGCTCTGTTACATAAAAAAAGGAAATGTGTTTTCTTGGAAACCTATTTAACTGTATAGAAACAGGTTTGGAAATGGAATTAAGCGATTCCATATAAGGGTAGTGTTTTTTGTATGGTGAACAGCTATCTGAAATTCTAGAATTCTTTGTCATAAAATAAGTAGGTAGCAATTTTGTTCGGTTTTGATACATTTATGAAGAGGGTCAAGAGCACCGGAGAATGAAAGGTGTGCCTGTAGCCCACAATGTCTCTGGCTGCCTTAATGATCAAAGTGATCAATCTTACAAGTACTTCATACAAAATCAGACATGCCCAGCTATCAGCCAGCTCCTGTCATGTCTCACCCTGCCTTGAAGCAAGGGACATGTTTTTGTTCCTTTCTGAAAACTGCAGGCAGGAAAGAAGTAAACAAAGATAAAAAGAAAGAAAGAAAAACAACATAAGCCCTAATCAGTTATATGGTATATAAAGCAACTATTGCCGACTCTTTGTTGCAGTGGTTCTCAGCCCTGGCTACAGTTGAGACTCACGTGGGTAGTCACGCCTTTCTCATGTATGGTTTTTGGCTTGCTTTTATCATTTTGATTCAGGCGGTTCTAGTGAGGCAAGCAGAACCCAGAATCCGGTTTGTATCGACTCAGCTCAAGAGGCCACATTTCCAAGTGCTCAGGTCCCCTGCCTGCTTCTCTGGTGTTTTAATGCATCCCCTCTCTCTCTCCAGGTCACTTTGGAGGATCCTCCTGAGTTGGAAGATAAATTCTTCCTCTTGTGACCCTTTTAGAGGAAAGTTGTAGCCGTAGAAATGATGTCACTGGCCTGTTAACAGCCCTCAGCTGCCTGTGGGAAAGCCCCAGTGAAATTAGGAGAGGGTGGCATTTGGCCTCCACGTTCACCACCATCGTCACCATCATGTAATATTTATGAAACCACATGTATATAATAATTCTGCACTGAGCCGAGCCTTGAGGTCACGCCCACTTCTCCTCCAGGGACTTGTCATTTAAGCTCCGCCTGGTGTGCTGCAAAGACCAGGTGTGGTTGTGTAAGAATGAGACTGCTGCCAACAACCACACATTAACGTCAGGCTCCCCATTGGAGAAGAAGCTTGCTAATATGTTAGGCTCGGGCGCAGGAACGCAGCCTGGGAAGGGGGGAGCTGCCAGGACGCTTGTTAAGGTCTCAGAATATGAAGTTATAATTTTACCTCTCCACACGATGGTTGTGGAAAGGGCAGTGTAGCCACACGTTTTCCCCCTCACTTCCTTTGAGATGTTTTATAATAGTGCAGACAATGATCTCATGGGCCGTGTGGAGTATTTTGCCCTCGTGCCTCAAAGTTAAGGCATTACCTGCTGTTGTGATTGTTTTCCATGCACAGACAAAACACCTTGACGTTACCTAAACACATGTTTCTTTTATTCTCTTTGGAGAACACAAAATTTTGTGTGTTTATATAAACAAATTTTATACGAACAAATTTTGCGTACAATTTATACCAAAAAACCTCAGTTATTAAAGTGAATGCGAGAAAATTTAGTCCAAACTGGATTTTTTTCTAGTAACCAAATCTTTGGCATTGTGTAGAACGAGTAATTGAATTTCTTAGTTTTCATCCAATAGTTGATGTTTTAAAGGTACATTTTCAATGTAAGAGGGAGTATTTACTTGATACGTTTTTTTTAAAACATTTTGCCATTTATACATGGAAGACTACCTCAGAATTTCATGTATTTGACTAGTAATACCCCTTTGGGTTTGTAGAGTATCTTCAAAGACTGAAAACATTTTCCCATTGGCTGCTGCATAGTAGGTTCTGTTTTATGTAAGCGTTTCCAAATTGTTTTGATGGCATTGACTAGCTCTCATTTGCAGGGACGGTGTCATATTGATTATAACACAAGAGAAAATAGTCCCTATCCTTGGGAGTTTACCTTCTCAAAATGTATTCAGAACCATATCCTTAAATGTTGCTAGACATAAAAAGTAGTAAAAACAAACATCTGATTCTGTAGGAATAAAAACGTTGAACAAATCCAACAAATGTGAGAAGCCTTAGGGAACCGACAGCTGAGAATCAGACACATGAAACTCACCATTTATTTCTTCTGGAGTTTTAAATGGACCTTCCCGCTGGTCCTAGAAGCCAGTGTAGTGTGACTGTGGGGATAGAAAGGCACTGGAGTGCTGTGAGCCCACAGTGATCCCAGCCCTCAACTTCTGTGCGTTTCTTATTCTGCTGACTGCCAGGGAAGGGATGAGGCCCAGTGTCTAGAGTTTCAGCGAGGCTTAGTCACGTTATTTTTGTTTGTTTGTTTGTTTTTTGAGTGACTCAGTGGAACTTCTTGGTTCCAACTCTGGCCTGTCCCGGCCTCCAGATTAGGACAGATTATGGAGGAATTAGGCCCCCTTCCAGAAAGCTGGTCTCCTCCTTTGAAACGTGGCCCTGAATTATCTTCAAGTCTAGATTTTTTTTTTAATTCATAATTCTTCCTGAGAATTTTGATAGGTTTTTAAAGGAAAGAACAACAAATTTGAGGAATAATTTTTATCATGGAATCGATTTGCAATTGAAAAATGAAAGGAGTGTATTTTGCTATATACTTTCTTCTCTGTTTTTGAATATATTTTATCAATCTACTTGCTTTAATTTGCATGATTGAGAGTCAGATTATCTAAATTTCAATTGTAGTTATGATAATGCCGCATTTTATAACCACAAGTAAAACATCTGTCTGGTTTTTATTAGTAAAAATTATGAAGTTGAATAGATGATATCTAAGATTTGTTTTTCGGTTCTAAGTTTTATTATTCTCAGTTTGGGACCTTAACAATATATTATTTTATTAATTCAATAATAAAAATCTCTCAGAATAATTTCCATGCTGGTGTTTTCCCCTTCACATTACTGGGATGAAAACTGCATATGATTTCTCATGTGATTGGTTATCAAGGGTCGGCTTTAACGTTCTTTTGTCAGTCAAAACCACTCATACATGAGGCTGTTAATGAAAATTGGGGGTCCATAAATTATCTTGTTTTTAGAATAGTGGTAATATTAAGGGTTCCTTACATTTCTGTTTCTCCATCTGAAAAAATGTGTTATAATACTTGACCTGTGTCATACATAGAGCTTGGTAGCATAGATAAAAACTGGATGCCTCACAATAAACATACAACATAAATTCAAAGGAGGCATTTCCAATCATACAATCTATAATTGTATCTTCAGTGCCCATAGATCATTCTTGTATCTGTTCTTCAGAACTTCTAGTCAAGATTTCCATGTTGCTTCATGGAGAAAGCTGATTGCCCAAGAAATTTCCCTAACTTGAGCAATATATTCATGGTTCAGTGAGCTGTTCCATCTCTAGGACAAATGGACAACAGCCCTGCCTAGTGCATAAGAAAAGTAAATGGTGGTGGCACAAGGAAATTGTGTCCCTTAAAATGCTACCTTCTCTGAAACCTCTGAGATGATGAAAATGTAGATGTTGACTGTGGTGTATACGTTTGTCAAAACACATCAAACTGTACGCTTAAAATGGGTGCTTTTTGTTGAATGTCAAAGATGCCTCAAAAAAGTGGATCCAAGAAAGGGAAGAAAACAGCCCTCTTCTAGGTAACCAGACAAAAATGGAAGTCAGATGAGCTGAGTTTTTGCCTCAGCAATAAACCCTGTTACTTTCGGGAAATCTTGAAACCTCTTTGTTTCTGTGTTCTCGGATGGGAAAGTGGAATTAAATTACTGCTCTTTTGAGTTTGCACCTTGCAGGAAGATGAAGTCATGTGGTGAAAGTGACCTTTCGAGTCTTGGCTGCTTTGAGTTCTGATAAAAGCTACACAATTTTTCCCTAGAAAAATGTGCATATAAAAAATGCACGCCGTTTCAGGTACTTCACAGCCTCCTCTTTACCGGGCTCACCCACAAAACCCCAGTGAGGCATGCTTGCTTTAGGGTTTTAAGTGAGCCCAAAGCAGATAGGTAAGGATAAATGAGAAAAAGCATTTTAGCACTTACCTATGTGTGCAAGGCAGTGGGAGAAACAGCCACACCAAGAAAGCAATCCTTGCCTTAAAGGAGCTCTTGATGGTTGAAATATAGATACCTCCTCCAAGTTAAAGATTATGACACTCTTATTGATGCCAAACATGTGTTAATCTAGCAAGTACTGCACTAGCTTGTTGCTACTAGCTCATAGTTTATCTGGAAATTCATCACTTGAAGATTTTGCTGCCAAACTGATTCTAACCTGGGCTTGTAGCCATGGTGCTGTTTATATTTCTCTTGCTTTCTTCTCTCTTTCTCCTTCTCCACCTTTCTCTTCCAGTCCCCATCTCATCTTTCCTTTCTTCTTTTCCCTTTCTTTCCTTTTAGTTCTCTCTCTCATCACTTGCTTTCATCCTCCCTCCGTCCCTCTCTGCCTTGCCTCTGTCTTTTTTCCTGTTTCTTAAGCTTTCTCTTCTTCTTCCCATTTCATCCTCTCAGGGTGCCTGTCTATGTGAGTGGTTAATGTGTAGGGTAAACTCTGCATTCAGTCAGCCCGGGTTAGAATTATCCACCCCTCCTCTTGTAGCGTCATCACAAAATACCTCCTAAGATGATGAAAGGCCTCGATGGGGCTTTCCCAGAGGGGCTTCCCCCGAGCCTGAGCTCAAGGACCCACTGGCTGCCACAGAGCCACGCTCATGGAGCCTCAGTGATAACATGTTTGTACTGATTGCTAAACAGAAATGCAGTTTTCTTCCTTTTGAACTGGGAGTGAGCGAGCCACCTGCCTGCTGTCCGCTATCAAACAGACTCCGCTCACGATGATGCCGAGCTGCATGGCATACCTGCATCCCACGCTGCGGGCTGCGATTCCCAGCAGTTCCACTGGTGGCACCGCTAATTGATTTCTCCCCTCGTTTTACAGAACCATGATGGCAGTATCGACTTCCGGGAGTATGTGATTGGCCTGGCTGTCTTGTGCAACCCTGCCAACACAGAGGACATCATCCAGGTGGCATTTAAGGTACTGTCAGCCCCACTGAAAGCATCTTGGTCTGCCTGCTAAACATGCGTTGACTCTAAGTGTGTTATTTGAAAATCAGTCAATCCATTACACGAGTTTATAGATCCGCCGTGACAGGTACAGGACGGTAATGGGATTAAGACAATTGCTACTGAGAAGAAAGAAAACACAAGCATCCGTTTAAGCAAAAAAATGTCTTTGGAAGCGGCCCAGGTAACAGCATCAAGATCGAAGAGCAGGTGATTTCACAAATTAGCTTTAAAAATTATCTCTTTGCAGCCTCCCTATTTTGAAGCCCCAAAGTGAGGTTTATAAACAAACAGCCTGCCACGAGTCCTAATTCACCGTGTAGAAAGTTCTGATCTGTCCTCATTGGCTCACTCTGCACGTCCGAGATACTGTGGTGGCAGTCTCCTGATGGAGTTTTACTTCCTTGTGGGGGTGTCAGGTGAACTCCATACAAAATGTCCCAAGTTTCCGCCCTGTGTGTTTTCCTGTCGTAGCACATATATCCTCACAACAGTACTGGGGGACGGATGAATAAAACCCACAGTCCTGGTTCCCCGCAGAACTCGATGGAGATTTGGATGATGAGGACTCCAACTTTGTTCATCACTTACCTGAGCCAAAAAATTGGGAAGAATACATTCCCAAAGTGTGTTTTCGGTTCTTCTGAGATGCAAGGTGCTTCGTGCAGTTAGTATTTAAATGGGATGCCCCCTTCAGAGTCCTAATCTTGTATGGCCTGCTCTGCCGTAAAAGCAAAGCTCAGTTTCCCTACTCACCTCACCAAGCCACGGGCACTGATCTCACCGTTCGGCCCCGCGGCGGTCCCCTGGCTGCTTCCGTCACCACAGCCGGAGGACCTTCTCTGTTCCTGTTGCCTACTGTCATGTCTTCCTGATTCTCTCTGAGAAGCAATACCCACTGTGACCCCAATAAGGTTTTTCTTTTCTCTTCTGTTATCTAGAGACTCTGTTCCCTCCCCCCCCCCCCCCCCCCCCCCCCGAGTCCTTTCTCACGTCTTAGAGGCCAACAGGGATACACTCAGGAATGTCACTGTGCGCTGTCATTCCCAAAGCTGTCCCCACGTTTCCTTCTTATTTCAGACTGGTTTCAGCTGAGTTCACTGCCAGGCCGGTAACGAAGCTACGAGCTGATGCCTCGCAGATGGCCGGAAGGCCAGGGCCGGGACCTCTCCAAGTTCAAAACTTTTGGCTTTTACAGACTTGTTCATCCCCAAACCTAAAATTATACACATAGCTAACTTATTCCAATCCAGATATTTCTGTTTTGGGGTTGTATGTGTAATTATAAGTTTCATCGGGCAAACCTTCACTTTTGGTTTACCAATGAAAGACCTGATAGAAAATTTGGCCCTTCATCACAGTAATTACTGTTTTTAAAGAAGCCTTGAGATTTTATCTAGCCTGGACCTTGGTTTGGGGGGTCGAGGGGAGGAAATGAGGACCTAAAACTATAATCAGCCCTGTTTTCAGTAAGACAAGGGTTCATGCTTTATATTGGTTGTTTTGTAACCTTTTCAGCTGTGTATAATGTGCTTGAAAATATTTTGGCATACTTTATGTGTAGGATCCATTCACGTACTTTTTTTGGGGTAGCACCTCACAGTTAACTTCCCATCTTTGATCTCATTTCATCATCATGGTGACCTTTAGAGATTGTAGCGATAGGCATGGGCTCTGGCTGAGGAATCAGTTGTAAGGATGGCGAGGGGGCTCCAGGGAAGCCAGACCAGGCAGCTTCAGGGGTCCCAGCTCCAGGGATGTCTCCACACCTTTCCTGGGTCACTTTAGTGAGAATGAGCAAAGTCCAGCTCTGTTCATCACTCCCATGCCAGGAGGGTCCCCATGGTCTTGGGCCGTGTGCTTGCTGGGAAAGACGGGGTGTTTTGAGTGTCCCCCAGCATTCCATACAATGGGGGGAAATCCACTCCCTCAACAGAAACTGAGGTATTCAACTTTCTACCAGAGCCCAGAGCCTGATCTACCTTAGCCCTGGGAACTTCACCGCAGGGAGACGATTGAGAGCGATGAGTCATGGAGGGAAATTGAGGGGTTTTGTGAAGGGAGCACTTTGGGGTAATTTTAACAAAGGAGATCAGGAAGTCAACAAGTCCCCAGTATGGACATTTGACGGGAACTTATTCAGAAGTGAGAGCCAGTGGTGGGAATTTCGACTGGTAGATGAGTTGGTGAGAACTGTTTAGGGCTGGGAGGCCTTGAAGAGAGCTTAGAGCTGTGTGTCTGCGTGGGCAGGGGCCGTGGGACGAGCCTTGGCAGTTAGGGTTCGAAGTCCCAGGCCCATAAAGAACCCTGGGGCTACAGTTTGGGAAAACAAATGCTAATTCACTTTTCACTTTCCAGCTATCTTAGCCTCTGTTTAGGAGCTCAGTGGAAGAAAATGGGTTAGAAGTCGGTGCTTGCTTAGGTGGGGGCAGCACACCACCACTTCACGTTACATTTTTCTCCTCCCGCCCTGCTGGACAGCTATAACACTATTCAACATTTGCTAGTTGTTCGTTTCGAGATTACCACTCCTTATCGAATGGCTGGGTGTCTTTTCTTCTGTTTTTGATCATATGTTTGGTCAGAAGGAGATACCTTAACAGCAGTAACTCTAGATATCTGCCTGGATTTGCATCCCAGCTCCTACGAGTTGTGTGACCATGGGAAAGTTACCTGACTTCCTTGTGCCTCAGCTATCTCACCTGGAAGGTGGGACTGATGACAGCACCTACCTGACATAAAACTATTGTAAGGGTGAAATGAGTTAATACATGAAGAGTGATTTGAATACTTTTGCTCAGTGCCTACACAGAATAAGTGCTTATATCATTAACATTTTTTGATACCCAGGAGAGGATTTTGAATATGGGATATTAATTATCCATCAGTTGTCCTGTTCTGCTGCGTGACTTAAAAACTCTTCCATCCTATCACTGCCGGCCTCTAATGGATATGCCAGCCCTGTCTTTGCTTCCTTATAAATTCTGTGCTTTCCTGGCATTCCTGCTTCCCCACTCCAGACTCTTAATTGGTTTTCCTGTCTCTAGCCCTATCCATCGTCCACTCTGCTCAGACAGCTCAGAGGCTCACACCACATTCGCTCCCATCACGACCCTACAGGGTTATGGGAGGCATGGTATATCCATCATGCTGATTCCTCTGGTCTCTCTCACTCCTGACTTCACCTGCCAGTCCTCGTAGATCCCAGGAATGTCTCTTCAGGTTCTAAGACCCAAGCAGATGTCAACTGCTCTGTCCAGCCTTCCCTGACCTCCCTGGGTTGGACTCACCTTGTTCTCCCCACAGGACCCCGTTGTCCTTTTGTCCTTACACGGCTGTCGCAGCCTCTGCTTCTGTCTCTTTCCGCCACAAACCTAGAGGTGTCGTGAGGGCAGCAGAGCCCACATTTTCTTCATGTGCATATCCCCAGCTCTGGCACAATGACTGTTTGAATTATTAGAGTGCTTATTTTCCAAGGCTGTCCCATACCACTCTTGTTCTGAGGGAGCTAATTCTTACTTTTTCTTTTCTTTTCCCTGCAGCTCTTTGATGTTGATGAGGATGGCTACATAACCGAGCAAGAGTTTTCCACCATTCTGCAGGCTGCCCTTGGAGTGCCTGACCTTGATGTTTCTGGTCTTTTCAAGGAAATAGCGCAGGGGGATGCTGTGTCCTTTGGTGAGTAGACAATTTGGTTCCTCGTTCAGCTTCCAAGGAGGACATCAGACTGTAGAGTGACCTTCATGCAAGAGTGTTGTTGCCCTCTACTAATTATATGAACACTAGAAACAGCAGTAATACTGATGATGATAGTGATAATAGTAGTTGTGGTGTAATGATGGTAGCTAGTTATTGAGGGCTTACCATATGCTAAGGACTCTTCTAAACATTTCATATAATGAACCCATTTATTCTTTACAGCAAGCCTGTTTAATCAGTACTTTTCATTATCCTTATTTTACTGAGATGTGAGGAATTTCAGTAGCTTACCTGAGATCACCCAGCTGAAGAATGTCAGAGCCAGGATTCCCAAACCAAGACCGTGTGGCTTTGGAGCCGGCACCGTTGCCCTGCACACCTTAGCGCCTCTCAGAGCTCTCAGATCTGCCACCACTCCTTCTTCTGTCACTGTGGCCACGCAAAGCTGAGAAAGTTAACCCACCTGGGTTGTAACCACAGTAGAAACCTGGGCTGAGGTGCCAGCAGTAATAGTGGTAGCGAAGCCATCTATTGGTACTTGCTGTTGGCAGCTTAAGTAAGCTTTCACGTTAAATGTCTCATGTCATGTTGATGGTACCCCTGCGATGGCGTGACTATCATGGAAGAAGACCTTGTGGCCAAATGGCAGGTGCATCCATCAGTGACTGACCTTTCCCCTAATGGCTGGAGTCTACACATCACAACAAGCCTCATAGGGCTGAAGGATGGTGCCTCAGTTTCCACAGATTTCACAGTGCGGTTGTTGAGAAACACACGGCAGCAGAGAGACTTTCGCTTTGATGTGGTCACAGGTGGAGGCCGGCTTGTCTTCCCTGATGGTCTGTCTCCCTTAGGCTGGAAGAGGATTCCTCTTGAATGTCTTTCTCCTTCTGGTGTTTAAAGAGCTGCAGCTTGTTAAGTTTTATGGGATGGGGGAATTAGATCACGTACTTCTCCCACTCTGTTTTTAATTACTGTCATGTTGGCTGCCCTTTATTTTAGATAATTAAGTGCCCAGGGCACTTACTCTACTGAGTTCACTTAAGAAAGATCGGAAGATAGGAAGGGAGGGAGAAAGAAAGGAAGGAAGGAAAGAAGAAAAGGAAGGGAGGGAAAATGGAGAAGCATATACTGAGATAACCCTTATGACTCATAAACCCCATATGTACTAATCCCCTGACCATTTTTTTTTCTTAAGATTCTCTATTACTCTGAACTACCAAAATTTGAAAACCTATTTGGAATAACTACTTCAATAGAAGATAATACTAAAAGTTATTTGTAGGCAGTAATATTTTTGCCTGTCGATTTTAATAATTTTTCAGTGAAATCTGCTTTGTTTTTTGGAGTTCAACCTTTTTTTTTTTTGTAATACACAGAATATCTTCTTGTTCCCAATATTATACACTTTTTTTTGCAGGAATGTTGGAGCTATTTAAGTATGATTTTAAAAAATAGGTATTGAACTGTATCATAAATGTGACCATTTAAATTGTTTTCATTCTTGGTTTTCCATTAGACAAATTAATGCCCAAATTCCACTTATAACCACTTCACAGCACTTCATGTAGAAATGAATTACTCTTTAATGCCACTGACATCCCCAAAGAGGACAGAGACATGGATCTTTTGAACAGAGCACAAATCTAAATTAAAGCTTTTAATTTTAGTAGATCAGCTCTTACACTCACTTATCATAGAAGTCTCTTAAGTCCCCTCTGCCTCCCCATCATTGAAACAGACTCATGCAGATGAACCTTTCTTTGGGGTGTTAAGAAAGAACAAGTCACACCTTGCCTGATTTGGAAATATGAAGTGGTCTGTTAATGCAAAGTAATGTTACAGTTGCAAAGAACAGTTTGGGCTCAGTCTGGTGACTTTCTCATCACTAAGGCCTGTTTTTATCTTCAAGAGTTGTTGGTAGTCTGCTGTGCAATGACTCTTGTTTATCAGAGGGTTTTAAAAATATTAATGGATAGAAATACGATATTCGGTCAAAATCTTTTTATTATAGACCCAAACAGCTGATTCAAAGACCAGGCTCCCTTTGTTCTATAAGCTCAACAGATGTTCTCCATCAAAAGAGAAGAGGATAGAAAACTGTTTTTAAATTGAGGGTAGCGTCATATTTCAGCGATTCCGGGTTGTAGGAGGCTTGGGGTTCGAACTGTGATGGTTAAGCTAGGAAGCCCTCTGTACCTCTATCTCAGCTCCTGAATCTAAGGCGCCTGAGACAAGAAGAGGCCTGCTACTCAGAGGCCTTGTGATATGATTATCATGTGTTGTACACGCTACTGGTCTTTATGGGTCATAAGTCAGGGCTCAGCTTTTCAACACTATTTCTACACCAGAATTAAGGGTTAAAATAGTTTTAAAACCCAGTCGTGGAAAGTCCTGGGTAATAGAATTTTTAAAACTTTGTTGTTATTACAAGAAAATAACAGAGACACAGAAAACTGAATAAAATGTAAATAGGGAGCATAATGAAGTCTTATAAAGTAAACACTTTTGTAACTACCGCTCAGACCAAGAAATAGAGCTTTTTAAGAACTCTGGAAACCCCTGGGGACCCCTTCCCAGCTCTAACTAACCGCTTCCTCTCTCTTAACGAAAGGACTGCTGACCTGACTCAGAAAAGAGTCTCTCCCTGGCTTCCTTTAGCATTTTACCACAAAAAGAGGCATCTTTATATAAAACAATACGTTATATTTTAGTTTTGCCTGCAGTTTTGAAATCGATATCGTGGACTCACACAATAGGTGTGCTTTTCGTATCTGGCTTTTTTCATTCAACATTGTGGCTTTAAGATCCATCTGCATTGTGACAACACAGCTGTTCATTCACTTTCATTGCCGTATAGCATTATGTGCCACGAATATGCCACGATTTATTTATCCATTTCTGCTGCTGACAAACGTAAGCTGTTTCTATTTGTGACCTATTAGGAATAAGGTTGCCATGAGCGTTCTCACACATGTCTCCCAGAATACAATATGCACACATTTCTCCAGGTTATACACTTCGGAATAGAATTAGCTGGTCACGGAACATGCCTGTCTTCTGCTTGGCTAGATCATGGACAAACTATCTTCCAAAGTAGTTGTACAAATTTATGAGAGTTGAGCAATAGAATTTGCAATAATGATAGTATTAAAGTCATATGTTAATCTGTATCACGCCGAAAGAAGATTCAACTCAATTGACTGAATTTTTGTTTTGTTTCTTCTTCTAGAGGAATTTAAAAGTTTTGCCCTAAAGCATCCAGAGTATGCTAAGATATTTACGACATACTTAGACCTCCAGACGTGCCATGTGTTTTCATTACCAGACAAAGCCCAGGCACCTCCGTTGGGCGCAAGTAATAAAGTCAGTCCTGAGAATCATGACGAGAGCATCTCAGACAAAAAAGATGACTGAAAGCCTGTGTTACCAGTAAGGAAAACACAGTGACCTTTCCTCGACATTGTGAAAGCGCTTACCGATGGTATTGTAAGTGTGATGATTTGAGTAATGACGATGTATAAAACGGAGAGCTTTTTAATAAAAATGATAGATTTTATTAAGATGCTTTTATTCACATATGTATAACAAGTAATATATATATTTTTTTCCTGTGATATTGTGCTGAACTGATTGGTTGACTGGGGATAAATGGTTTTATGGGTTTCCCAGGTTAATTTGCATACCCAAATGAATGAAACGGTCTCACGTATTTCCTGATAAGCATTAATCAACACTGTAGAGTTTAAAAAGTGCAAACATTCTTTAATCTCCTTTCCTCTGAGGAAATAAAGTCATCGTGCGTTATCTCTAGTTCCTTTCCATTCTGGAAATAAGAACGAGGAGCCTGAGGAACGTTACATGATGTTTCACCTTTAATGTCACAGATTCGTGTTTTCCCATTTCCATTTCAGTTTCTTGGCTCACTGACTAGATGGCTGGGTTGGAAGGGAGCTCCATGAATTAGATGAGACGTCTTAAAAACTAATATTCCCTTTAGCATGCATCCCTATTGTAGATCTCCTTAACCACGGGCTGAGGAGATCAGACCCCTTTGCATGATGGTTTACAGACAGGACAATGGCTATGGCCCAAGGCTAAGTGGGAATTGCCTTATAGAAGGTAACATCCATCGCCTAGTGGGAAAATGAATCGTTTGCCCCAGAGTGTAGTTTAACTTGACTTGGAGAGATCGAAATGTAGTTCTTGCCTAATAAATGAATCAGATTTACCCTAGTGGTATAATTTTAGAAGTATATATTTTACCATTTTATTTTGTTAGGTGTCCTCACAAATTTTAGAGCTTATCTGAAATATCTACAGAGAAAACACAAAAGGTTCCAAAGTATCACCCAAAGCTAGGGAATCCCAAAACCTACTTAATGCAACCCCACACTTTAACCCCCTAACCCCCTGGTAAGAATCCATTTATCTTTTAGATTAAGCAATCTTTTCCCTCAAATGCCTTTTCTATTGGATGTCATGCATGTACGCATATTGTCAATATTGTTTATGTTTGAAAATTTGAACGAAGAGCCAATTTTTTTAATATAATGTACAAAAATAGTTGGTTCAAATTCTGAATTCAGTCTTTGAATTTAAACTCTTTGTTTTGGCTACTATGTTTCTGAATACAATGGTGATGCACCCCAAGCTGGTGTTTTAAGGCCATTTTTGAAGTTGAAAGTCTCATGAGAAATGTTGGAGTTTATATTCAAGAGTCGTGATTTCAAACTAGTTCTACATATTAAGCACCTAGTGTTCTAATTTAATGAGTAAATATGTATTTGGATAATTACTTACCAAAAACTTTATATAAGTATATATAATTGTTTGCTTTTTCTATAGGGCTTTTTAGACAAAGCATTTAATGAGCTGAAAACAATTGCTTAAGTAATTAGGAAAGCATGTGTTTACAATAGTGTCTGTCATATGCAATTGAATGTATTTAATACTCAGGTACCATGATTGTTTTTTATCATAGAAGAGCCACATATTAATCCTATTATTCATGAAAATAGCATTGAAAATTAAAAACTTTCTATGAAGCGCTTGAAAGTGATCCCATTGTTTTCCTGTTTTAAAATAATATTTTATGTTCTTTAATCCCACATCTGCCAATGTAATATTCCCATTTTATTATGTTACTGAATAAACAGAATTGCTACATAAAATTCTTGGCAATTAAAAAATTCTGGTTTTGCCATTTTGTCTCAAATGTAATGTACCTTTTTAATATCATGGTTTGAATTTGTTTGCATATTTATGAATATGATTAATCATTTTTGTTTGCATTTAAGCTTTATGAAATGTCAGACATGATTTTACTCTAATGAAAAACTCAGATTTTAGCCAAAGTTGCAATACTTAGTATTTATAAAGCAGTTGACTTTTCACTGGTGAGGTGTGCGTAATAACACAAATCATGATCCTCAGTATTACTGTAGATGAGGCCTCTCCTTTTATGCCATCTTAACAAAGGTTTCCTTCAAAGAGGCTTTTCTCCTCTCAGGATTTAAAGTAAGGAATTGAATTTTGTTAAATCAGTTAAATCATGTGGTTTTATATAATAGATTGGAAAAATAGGTTACTCTTGATCCTAAAAACCTATAAACCATAAAAATTTCCATCAGAACAGTTCTATTGGGGCATAATGACATCCTGAATGCTTACAGACCAAGTGCTTACATTATATAATATATTTAATTCTCCTCTCCCACTGCTTTGAGAGTTCTGGAAGGCTGAGTGTGATAGCTGGTAGTGGTACCATAAAGAGTATTGAAAAGAGGCCGCCTCCCTTTTAGAAGACATGAGGTCTGCTCTCAGCATGAGGCACAGCACTGCAGGTATCTGATTCCCAGGAGTGGCACCTCCCACTACGGACTGTCACCACTGCAAGGTGGTGAACTGACTACAGTTGATTGATACTCCAAGACTGAGGCATTGCCTGTATTGGAACATGTGATCACCTTATCCCAAAGGTCCTTGTGTATCCATTTTTGTATAGCATTCACTAAAGAGGATAAAAAGATATGAGGAAGAAACCCTTCCTAGGAAAGCAGACATATTTATAATCTATTCTTCTTTTCTGTTCACTTGGATAAACTTTTCAATTTTGGGGGAGAAATTGTTAGACCATAGTATTAAGTCAGTACAGTGTTGTAGCTTGATAGAGGTGAAGGCCCTCACAAAGTTCTTGATATACCAGGAGTGCCAAAAAAATGTGTACAACTGGACGCATTGGTCAACATTGCTCAAGCAGTAGTTTGCCGTGAACAGAAGTATCTGGACGCTGGTGGGAACCACTTTGAGCACTCTTGTAATTGCAGAAGTCAAACGTGACCTGTATTTGTATTCATCTTTTGTTATTGGTATATATTGAGTATTACAATTTTAATACAGTTTGCCTTTCTTAAAATGGGTATACATTTGTTTGGCACCCTCTGTATATTCAATATACATGTTATAAACTGGTAAATAGTGTAATAACCTGCAACACTTTTGCTCTTTTTAACCCCATTTAATGTAACTATTTTCTGTGGGTCATCATTCTTTCTCAACAGAATTCTCAAGTGTCTACGTAAGGACCAGCGTGTTCTAACAAATTGTCTCCATTACATTTTGATGCCCAGCTTGTGACATTTTTTTCTAACATGTCAACCATATCATTTTCTTATCATTCTTATAAAATAATCTATGCACATTAGAAAAGATAAAAAGTAGAGAAAGGAATAAACAGAAAAAATCATGTTTACTTCTACCTCAAATCAACTATTACTAATTTTTTGACATATTTTATTTTGCCCTTTTCTTCTTGAGAGTCTTACACTGTCAACATAACAATGTGTATGGCATTTTATATCCTGCTCTTTCACTTGCAATATGACATTTTCCAATGTCATGAAAATTCTATGTAAATGTAAATTTAAAAAAGTATACCTAATATTTTTTCAGATAACTATGACATAATATGTGTAATCAGCCTTCTAATATTGAACATGGGAATTTGATTTTCATTTTGGGGTTATTAAAAATATACAACTCAATACTCCATAATAGTTCGTAATTACAAATAGTTTGCTCAGGGACTTATTTATACTTTCTGAATTCCAAAATGAAAAAGTCACTGACCATTTTATAAAATTTGTTTCAAACTCATTTTATTACAGGAAAAAAAAACTGATATTATGTTAGATTGCATACAGTTTAGTAATTTTAACTTCAGGTCGTGGTCAACAGGTTCAGTCTCTTAAAGGTAAGCAGATTTCATGTTTTTCAGAATATTTTCCACTTTGTAAAAATAACAGCCTTGCTAGTTATTACAATAAGCAATAATAATAATGGTGATAATAATAGCCACCAATTTGGTAAGCTTACTATGTTTCAGCACTGTGCTAAGGGATTTACAGGCATCAATTCATTTAAACACTCACGTATCGGTATCAATCCCCCTGGTTTTACTAACCAAAACTTAGAGCCATCCCTAAGTCACTCATTAAGTGGCAGAGCTTGGAATTAAACCTGACTGCCTCTGATTCCAAAGTCCATGCTTCTAATTATTTATATAAAGCAACACAGCTACCTGATCTATAGTTTACAGATTTAGCATTTGCCGTACATATTCCAACTTGTGGGTTATGGACATCAGATTTCTGCCTGTTGTGGAGTATCCCCTTTGCCGTTCTCCCCACTTATACTTTTGCTCTCTTATAAATTCATTGCCATACAGAAAACACAGTGATCATTTCAAAGCGTAAAGCAGATATCACTTCTCCAGTTTAAATTTTTTTGAAGGCTACCCAGTGCAGTTTGGAGAAAAATCCCCAATATTCTACAAGGCCTTATGTGGTCAGGTCCCTACCTGCAGTCGAGGTCTCAACCATCTCCACTCTCCCCCCTCTCTAAACTCCCACCACCCAGCCTTCGACTAAAGCGCCTTCCAGCCGCAGAGTCTTCGGACTGCTGTTCCCTCTGGTGAGAATATTCTTTCCCAAAGATTGTCACCTGGCTTTCTCTTCTCCATTCAGACAAAAAAACAGATCAAAACAGAAAATCTTCGTTGAGATATGATTCATATTTACCCATTTAAAGTGTAAAACTCAGTGTTTTTAACATATCCACAGTTGTGCCACCATCACATCTATTTTTTTACTTCTTTCAGATTTTAAATCAAATGTCATATCATCAGAAAGAGTCCCTCATCACCTCATCAGCTAATCAGAAAAACCCACTCTCACCCACAGACATCCTCAATCCCAACACCCTTTTTGATTGCATTTAAATTTCTGTGAAATTATTTGTTTATATATTTATTGTCTGCTATTCCTAGCGCTTAGTAGGTGTGCCTGACATATATTTGATGAATGAACGAACGAATGAATGAATAATGTTATCTTTCACTTTTTGTGCCTTGCATTGTGTTAGAATGGAGATCATCACTGCAACAAACTTGAAAACCTGGCAGTATGACCCCTAAAACCTGCTTAGAAATTAAGGCTCAGAGAGGTTTCCTCACTTGCTCAGAGTTACAGTGAGTACCAGAGCTGGATTTCAAGCCCAAGGCTGCCTGGCTCTGAATGTGGGGACTTTTTTTTTTTTTTTTAAGCCAAGGTAATTGAAACCCATAAAATAACTAAGGAATTATATGAAAGGCTTCAGGTTCCAGAAACATGGAAACTAGATAATCTGAGAACCCTCTGGCCACAAAACCCCTAGAATGCTGAACAAAATATCACAAACTCATTTGAAATGCATAGCTGAGCATGTAAAATACTCAGGGAAATCCTCAAAGTCCAAAAATGAAAGGGGAGCTGAAAACCAGAACTGAAGGCATGAAAGTTACAGTTGACCCATGGGCACTGGTCACTCTCTGTAACAAAGAGGTTTAGTGTTCTGTGGCCATGGGAGAGAAAAGACAAGGTTTTAATATGAGGTGGGGGTTTGGAACTGACATCTCGGAAGAAAAAACAGACATTTGAATGGCTACGCTTTCAGTAAAAGAATGAGCTAGAAAAATTATTCTGGACGAGGAAGACAACGAGGACGTTTTTCTGCCTTGGCCTGAGTTCTAGGTTGAGGGGGAAAAAATCTTCCTCTGATCATTTTTTTTTTTAATTTCCATTCTTTTAAATGTTTTAAGACTCATTTTATGGCCCAGCCTATGGTATAGCTTGGTGAATGGCCCACGTGTACTTGGAAAGAATGTGTGTTCTTCAGTTGTTGGATATAATGTTCTATAAAGGTAAGTTAGAGCACATTAAGTGACAGTGCTGTCTGCTATATCTTTACTGATTTTTTTGTCTGCTTGTTTTATTAATTACTGAAAGAGGGATGTTGAAATCTCCAACTATAATTGTGGTTTTATCGACGCAGTTTTTCTAAAGCTCTGCCATGAGGTTCATGATCATTTTGATTGTTATGTCATTTTGATGAACTGATGCTTTTACGAGTATTTCTCTTTAATTGTAGTAATACTCCTTGTCCTGTTATTAACATAGCCACTCCAACCATGTCAACTTACTTATGATTAGTGTTTGCATAGTTTATCTTTTCATCCTTTTTCTTTTAACTTACCTGTGTATTTTTTAATATGCGCCTCTCAAATGGGTACTTTGTGGTCCTTTTGGGTCTTGCTTTGTTATCTTGTTTGATAATTTCTGTCTTTTAATTGGACCATTTGGTCCACTCCCATTTAATGCAATTTATTGATATGATTGGGCTTGAGTGTACTCTCTTGCTTTTTGTTTTTTGTTTGTTCCATCTGTTATCTTTTCTTTTCCTGACTTACGAGTATTTTAGATTAATCAAATTTATTTTAGTATTTTATCATTTTATATTTTCTTTTGGCTTATTAGCTATACTTATTTACCTACATTTAGTGGTTTCTCCAGCGCTTACAATGTGTATCTTTCACTTAATATAGTCTACTTTTTTTATTATTATTAAAGTTTATTGGGGAGACAATTGTTAGCACAGTTACATAGATTTCAGGTATTCATTTCTGCAATACAGTTTACTCTCAAATAATAAACTTTTTCACTCATAGCGTAGGAACCTTACAACAATATACGAGTACTTCCATTTTACCTCATCCCATCACTTGAGCTTTTATCATATATCTTCTATGTGTTTTCTTTTTTTTTTTTTTTTAAGATTTTTTTTGGGGAATTGGGGGAGGGGAACAGCGTTGGGGAATCAGGGAAGGGGAACAGACAAGTTGTTGTCCTTTTGTTCTTCAGTCTAATTGTGGAGGATGTTGCTTCACTGGCCCATGTTGGTATTATCATTGCACTCTCCCTGGGTGAGGCAGATCAGTCGCCGGCCACTGGATGGCTGCTCACCGCGGCTCTTGGTAGCTCATGCCGGCTGCCGGCCACTCACAGCAGCCCATCTTATCTGAACCCGGGCTCTGCTGCTCAGAGCTGGTGTTCCCAAGCCAACTCTTAATCAATGCGCCACTCGGCCAGCCCTCTTCTATGTGTTTTAAACTCCACAGATTTTTTAATCATTTTTGTTCTGAACAGTAAAATAAAAAATTGAGAAAATAAGGTCTGTTTATTTACATTTTTACTGTTTCTTTCACTCTTCATTTCTTTGTGTAATTCCACCTTTTCAACATTTTTCTTCAGGCTGAAGAATGTCCTTGAACATTTCTTGTAGAGCAAGCACCCTGACAATAAATTCTTTCAGCTTTCTTTTGTCTTCATATGTATATTTTGCCTTAATTTTTGAGGGACTTTTTGCTGGATACAGAATTCCAGGTTGACTTTTTCCTTTCAGTACTTTTATTGTCTCTGATGAGAAGTTAGAAGTAATTCTCTTCGTAGTTCTCTTGTATATAATGTATTTTTATCATCTGGCTAATTTTAACATTTTGTCTTTATTACTCATGCTGAGAAATTTTATTATGATTTGCCTTGGCATGCTTTTCTTTATGTTTATCTTTTTGGGGTTCATAAACTTCTTTGACCTGTATGTAGGTTTAGAGTTTTCATCAAATGGGGAAACTTTTCAAGCCTTGTATCTTTATGTAATTGCTCTGCCTCAGATCACTCTTTTTGTCTCCTCCATTTACACAGATGTTAGACCACTTGGATTATCCCACAGGCCCCTGAGTCTCTGTTGATTATTTTCTCAATCTTCCTTTCTCTGTGTCCATCAGTTTGATCACTTCTGTTGCTCTTTCTTGAAGTTCACTGATTGTTTCTTCTGCAATGTCTAATCTGCACTGTAAATGTTTCACTTCAGACACTGTTATCTTTTGCTTCTAGAATTTTCACTTAGGCATTTTCATAATTTTTCTTTGGCTAATAAGAAATCCCTCTATATTCCCTCAGTGTGTTTACATATTCTTTAACTTTCTGGAATATATTTGTAATAGTAGTTTTAAAGGCCTTGTTTCTTGTTTCATCATCTCTGTCATTCCTGGATCTATTTGTACTGACTGATTCTTTTCCTAGTAATGGGTCATATTTTCCTTCTTCTTCACATGTCTTTATATAAATTATTTTGTATAAAAATTATTTTGTGTACAAATTTGTACAAATTATTTATACAAATACTTTGTATTGTATTCTGGATATTCTAGATACCACTTGATTGAGTGTCTACGTTTGTCTATCACTCTTAATAGAGTGTTGAGTTTTGTTCTACCAGGTAGTTAATTTAATTGCAGATCATCACATGAACTTTGACCTAAACCTCACACCCTATACAAAAATTAACTGAAAATGGTCACAGATTTAAATGTAAAATGCAAAACTATAAAAATTTCAGAGACAAATATATGAGAAAATCTTTGGGTTCCATGGGTAGACAAAGAGGCTTTAGACTGAGCGTAGACACCAAAAGCCTAATTTCATGAAGCAAAAATTGGTCAGCTGGGTGTCATGCAAATTAAATTATTTTTCTCTGAAAGACCCTATTAAGAAGATGGAAAGAAAATACTTGCAAATCACATATCTAACAAATAAGAACCTATAATATATAAAGAACTCCCAAAACCCAGCAGTAAAAACAAATAAAACAATCCAATTAGAATATGGGCAAAAGACATGAATAGACATTTCTCCAAAGAAGATATACAGATGGCTAATAAGCACGTGAAAAGATGTTCAACATTATTAGTCATTAGGGACAGGCAAGTTAAAACCACAATGAGATACCACCACACACCTACAGAATGGCTAGAATGAAAAATAGTGACAATAGTAAGTCCTGGCCAGGATGTGGAAGAACTAGACCACTCATACATTGCTGGTGCGACTATAAACTGGTCCGGCTGCCGTAGGAAATAGTGTGGCAGTTTCTTTAAAAAAAGGAACACATGACACTCTGTAGCCCAGCAATTGCACCTCTGGGCACGTATCCCAGAGAAATGAAAGCATATGTTCACACAAGGATCTGTACGTAAGTGTTTATAACAGCTTTATTCACAACAACAAAAAAGAAAAACTGGAGATAACCCAGAGGTCCACCAGTGGGTGAATTGTAGAACACACCGTGGTATATCCACATCATGGAATAAAGAGAAACTATTGATACAATCAGTAGTAACCTGGATGAAGTCTCCAGAGAATTATGCTGAGTGATAAAAACCAATCCCCCAAAAGTTACCTACTGTATGATTTCATTTATATGACATTCTTTTTTTTTTTTTTTAAAGATTTTTATTGGGGAATTGGGGGGATGGGAACAGTGCTGGGGAATTGGGGGAAGGGGAACAGACAAGTTGCTGTCATTTTTGTTCTTCAGTCTAGTTGTGGAGGACGTTGCTTCACTGGCCCAAGTTGGCACCATCATTGCGCTCTTCCCTGGTAAGGCAGATCAGTCGCCGGCTTCTGCAGATCAGTCGCCGGCTTCTGGACGGCCACTCACTGCGGCTGCTGGCCACTCACGGTAGCCCATGGCAACCCACTGCCACAGGGGCCACAGCCTACGCCGTCGCTGGCGACTCATGGCAGCCCAAGTCCAGGTTGAGCTGTTGTTCAGCATCTTAGCTGTAGAGGGCAGTGTCACTGGCCCTCATATGTGGGATCTGAACCGGGGCCCTCTGGCATCCCAAGCGAGTTCTTAACCATCGCGCCACTTGGCCGGCCCTTATATGACATTCTTGAAATGACAAGTTATAGACATGGAGAGAAGATGAGTGGTGTCAGAGGTTAAGGGGGACATGAGAGTGGAAGACAAGTGGGAGTGGCTTATAAGAGCGAAAGGAGCAATCCTTGTTGTGATGTAAAAGTTCTGGATATGACAGTATCCGTGTTATCATCCTGGCCGTGATACGGTACAATAGTTTTGCAGCTTCTAGGAAACCTCTAGGAAAATTAAGAGAAAAACAATTTCAGAAATCTAAAAGTAGGCACAAATACATATAGAGAAAGAATTTAAAAACCATAAGAAAATACTATGAAACATATTATGTAAATATATCTGACTATTTAAATCAAATGAATATTTTTTTTAAAAATCTAACAAATCTAAGAAAGAGAAATCCTGAAAAGCTCTTTACTCGTTATAAAAATTTAATTAGCAGTTTAAAATCAAGCCCCCCAAAGTGACCTCCACATGGTGTTACAGACTAGTATTTAAACATTGAAAAAATATATAATCCCAATATTATGCAGAATAATTACTGATTGTTCTCATATTGCCCTTATTGGACTTTGGTATCAAGGTTATTTTTCTCTGCAAAATCCAATAAGGCCAATATGAAAACGATCAGTAATTACTCTGCTTCATTTATAATTATCGATTCGATTGCCAAATCCAATCAAACAATGCATTAAAAATTAATTGTGATCAAGTAGATTTATTCTGGGAATGCAAGGATGGTTTAATATTAGATAATATTTTTGTGTAATTAAATGCATACTGTATTACTTTCCTACCTGTAACAAATTGCCACAAACTTAGTGGCTTAAACAATGTGTTATAAATGTATTTTCTTATTCTTGAGGTCACTGGGTCTCACTGGCCTAAAATCAAGGTGTCAGCAAGGCTGCATTTGTTCCTTTAGAGCAGCGGTTCTCAACCTTTCTAATGCTGCAACCCCTTAATACAGTTCCTCATGTTGTGGTGACCCCCAACCATAAA